TCATGGTGAAGGAGCTAGCACCTAAAAGGGGAAGGAGCCATTTTAGCATTTATGGAGCTTTTCTTTTGGTTGCTTGACTTTTGCAGTTTCCTTGTAGAACCTATGTTAGGAATTTTTATTTTTAGCATAACTTGTATACGTTGTATGTAGATGGTTCTCACATGCATATTTTTGGAGGCTTGTGAGCCAAGTGTATTGAGGCATTTACATTTATAAGTTAATGATGCCAAGTTTAATGTATGTAAGACATTGATGTGGCTTTACGCCAAATTTGATGAATCATATGTATTTTGATGTGTGTGTGATGTACAATGATAGCTTGTAGCCAAAGTATATGGATTATGTAACTATTGATTGAACATGATAGTTTCATAGATGAAATCCTTGAGATGATGATTTATGGTTATGAAATGGTGTATGGTCAATTAGGTGGAGGGAAAGCTTAGTGGGTAACCATGGGAGAATGTATAACTCAATTTGGGACCCTTCAATTTTGATGGAAGTGTTTGGTATGAAAGGAAGGGGTGTTCTCTTGGTGTTTACAAGTATCTCTGCAGTACTGACAAAATCAAGGTAAGTTCAGAGATCACAGTATGGATTCACCTTCGGAACACTCTCATGAGAATGTGTGTTTGGCTTTTTCGTTCCTCACCTGTTGGTTTGCATAGATCAACAACCTTCATAGATCTATAGATTAAATTTCAGCTATTTTTTCACCATTTTGAGAATTCTATTCAAGAGCAAAAAGTGTTTATTCAATGGCATTTTTTGTGTGTTTTCACCATTCAAAATCAGACATCATGATTACTATAGGTGAGTTATTTTTGCAAAGACAACAGAAGTTCATGGAGTCAAACTTTCAAAATGTTTTATACTATTAGTGAAAAACTTTGTACATAAACAAAAGAAAATAAAAACTATCCCCAGCAACGGCGCCAAAAACTTGTTGGGTGCTAGGATGCTTTGTAGGACGTTCCCTTACTTAGTTTATTAAGAGAAAACTCATTCGTTCTCAAGATAATGACCCAGTCACGCAAGAGCAGGCATCAAGTAATAAGTGGGATTATTTGTGCCCAAATTATCGTTCCTACAGAGATAGTAACTCTAAATAATGTTTTGAACTAAACTTAAAGATTTTGGAAAGAATAAAATAACAGTTTTGAACTGTCTGGTCTTTCGTTCCCTAATATCTTAGGAACGTTCCCCTAAAGATACAAATTGACTCTAAACAACTCCTCGCGTCATTACGTATTTAAATCCTTCCCGATTTTAGGATGAACGACAAATCATTGGAAGTTTTATGTTGTGGTAGTGAAATAATAAATGCAAAATTTAAAGTTTAACAGTAGTTCAGAGACAACAAGGTGATATGATAAACAGATAACAATTTTATCAGAAGGAACGGATCCACTATTTCATTCTTAACTAGTTGTGTTCTCAACTCAAGACTTAACCCTTATGGATTTGTTCAGGTGTTTTCACTGCCAACTCTGATTCCTCATCTCATGGACTAAATGGCTCACAAGTTTCCATATTCTTATGGCTCCCTTGACTCCAATAGTTACTAAGTATAGAACCTTTAGGGAACAAGGTGGTTCTTTATTCCTAAGGAAACCAGTAAGAGTGTTTCCACTATCTTTCCTTCCTCATATGATTAAGTTGTCTGAAATCTCTTCCCTGAGAAAGTTCCTTTTTCAGTTGCATTCAATTTCCACAGATACCTAAATATTTAAAAACATTTAAATCATAGAAATACAAAAGGTTCAGTGTAAGAGTTTCAAACACAGTTCATTAAGAACTTCACAGTTTTTCCATTCCAAAATAACTAAGCCCATGGCTGAAAATACAAAGATAGTTATCTCAATCTGAAATCCCATAGATCGAGATTCAGTTTGAAGAGAACGACTGGAAGAGAAAATAAATACAACCTTAAATTAATAAAACACAAATTGATTACAACAGTAAGAACAAAAAAAGAGAAAAATGAATATTGCTTGTAAAGAGTCTCAAATGGTGATGAAGATATGAGAGATGAGTGTTGTCACTTAGCTACTGCTAAGAACTATACAAATTACAAATAGAAACTAAACTATTCTAAGATTGAAGTTACACTATCTAAGGTCTCGTATTAAGGGATGAGATCCTTCATTCGTATTCAACTCTGCTATTTATAGGCTAAGGAGGGAGGTGGCAAACTTATGATTTCCACCAGCTGTTCCTTGCTTGAATGGAAAGTTGCTGAGATGTTATCCTGACATTTGATGAGAGTTGTTTGAAGTGATGGCTTGAGGTTGGATTTTTCCTTTTTGCTCTGAAATCCACAATGTCCTTTCTGTCCTTTTGACAAAAAAATAGTCTTCCTATTCCACTTTACGTCTCAGACGTGTCTTGTTGCTTGGTTATTGTGCACTCTCTACTTTTGGATGCTTCTTTTCAAACTTTTTCATGCAAAGTAGTGAAACATGTGTAAGGGTTAGCAGAGTGGGTATATGAATAGGCTAATCCTTTCCCTTTTTCTCTCTTTCATCTGCTGCTACGCTGGCATCTGTTCCCTTTACAGTATTTTCGTTCTTATTGATTGGGAACGCCTTTGAGAAGCAAAAATGGATGCCAGGTTGCGGAGCAGATGAGATTTTGCTAATAAAATCAGCTCATATGGGAACGAATTTTTGTCCCATCAACTTCCGTTTAAGGATTTTTCCTAGGAGGTATGGCTCTTGGAAGCTCCATACGGATACTCATTTTGAGGTACAACTTATTGGAGTGATCCAAGTGTTATGGGTATACAAATTTAATCAATTCATTATTGTCTATGTTTATACGTTGTATATTATGCCATATTTTGTTAACCTTTCATGTAAGAAAGTGAAAGGGGTGAAGTGGTTCTCTAAGGACCCTGAGTTTACTGAGATTTGTATCTCACTCTATTTGGGGATTATGTTTTAGGTTCTCAAGGTGAAGGAGATAGCACCTCAAAGGGGAAGGAGCCAATGTCTCCTTTATGGAGCTTTTCTTTTGGTTGCTTGACTTTTGGAGTTTCCTTGTAGAACCTATGTTGGGAATTTGTATTTCTAGCATAACTTGTATATGTTGTATGTAGAGGGTTCTCACATGCATATTTTTGGAGGCTTGTGAGTCAAGTGTATTGAGGCATGTACATTTATAAGTTAATTATGCCAAGTTTGATGTATGTAAGACATTAATGTAGCTTGGAGCCAAAGTAGATGAATCATGTGTATTTTGATGTATGTGTGATGTACAATGATGGCTTGTAGCCAAAGTATATGGATTATGTAACTATTGATTGCACATGATAGTTTTATAGATGAAAATCCTTGAGATGTTGATTCATGGTTATGAAACGGTGTATGGTCAATTAGGTAGAAGGCAAGCTTGGTGGGTAACCATGGGAGAGTGTATGACTCAATTTGGGACCCTTCAATTTTGTGGCAACACACTAGGGCTCTATAATCGCGCTAATGGAAAAATATTTTTTTTTTTTAAGTAGAGAATTAAAAAAGTGCAATTTAAGCATTTCTTAAAAAGGGGAGTGTAATTGTCTCTTCTCTTTTTCTTCTTTATACCTTAATTTTGTACATACTAGCTTGTTTTGTCAAAGGTAGCACCCTCAAATATATAAGTATTAATAAACAAAGGGTTTTATTAATCTCCTTTTACATAAGATAGGTATCTTATGTTGTAGAGAGAAACTAGGTGGGTCCCACCATTACAAGAAAAAAGAAAAAGAAAAAAAAAGTGAGGTGCGGAAATCGAAGTGAGAAAAAATGAAATAAGCTACCTCATGTAAAAGGAGACTAATATTTCCCATAAACAAAAGCCATAAGAAAGGCAAAACTAGGAGAAGTAACACTTAAGATTCCTGTGAAAATTAGAAAATCACTTCGATGCAGAATAGATAAATGGTTGTTATTTATGAATTATGTTTGTTTTCAATTTTTTACAAGTTAGTTTAAAAGATTAGCCAAATCACACTTTTGATTCCTTTTTTTCAAGTGGTACATCACGGAATAAACTATGATCCATAGCTACAGATCTCTAAGCTATTAAAGAAAGACACCTATAGATTAATATGTCCTATATTTATCATTCTTTATCCATTGGCAAGAGGAAAGAAAAAAAGAAAAGGTGGACCTATTTTTATTTTGTGTGCGTAAGAACTTGGCTTCACTCACGTAAGATGAGATAAATATAACTCTTTCTTCTTAATATATTAATGTATCAGCCATCAAATTTTTTTGAAGTCAAAATTCGAAGTTTCCTTTTAACAATATGATCAATACATTGTAACACATAAACAAATTTTTAAAAATTTCAAAATATAAATTGTGAATATTTGAATGCTCATTAGTGTTTTATTCATTTGGTAAAAACCAAAGTGTTTTTAATAAATATACACTTTAAAAAACAAATAAAGAAAGGGTTTAACATTTTTGTTTTTGCTGCAGAAATTTTTTTCTACCACACTTACATAAAGGTGAGTAAATTTCACTAATTTTTTTTACCACACATAAAGGTGAGTAAATTTCACTAATTTTTTCTCTCTCTTCTTTTCAGAATGGGGTCCACTCGTATTTATGTGAGTGTGACAGAGAAATAAATTATGCAACAAAAACAAAAATATTAAACTCATTCTTTATTTGTTTTTTAAAGTGTATATTTATTAAAAACGCTTTAGTTTTTACCAAATAAATAAAACACTAATGAGCATTCAAATATTCACAATTTATATTATGAAATTTTTAAAAAATTGTTTATGTATTACAAATTTGGATTACAAACCCTAAAAGCAAAAATATTTTTCGCATAAAGAAATTTGGATCCTCGTATTTAAATTTAAATACTCATTATTGTTTTATTTCTTATGGACAGCTATAAAATGTGTTGAAAACTAAATGAAAATAATAAAAATAGAAGATAGACGGGGTCAAAGGCTTGAAGAAGTTTAAAAAAAAAAACTAAAAAATATGGATTCAGTACAATTTGGCACTTGAAAGTAGAAAATAGTGTTGTCTATATGTGATCTACAGGTCCAATGTAACTCTCCATCAAGCAAAATTCTAAAACACATACTATTCTTTTCCATATTAACAAAAGTAAGTACCCTATAGAGCCTGCATTTCCAAATCAGTATGTTCATTGCTATTGGCAGAAGAGGGTTCAGGAATCTCCTTGTCATCATTAGACTTCATCTCTTGAATGGGAGGAGGATTTACAATGGTCATTTCTGAGGCAACACTGTCTGAGAGCCTTCCCTTCATCTCCCTGTGCTCTTGACACAAGGCACACCAGTGCATGCAGCAGTGTACACAACATGGATCACAAGGCGAGTTCTGCACTCAAAAGAAAAAATCAACATCAACATCTCATTTATCAACGGAATCGGGGGTCGATGAATCCATATAAAAGCAAGAATCTATTAGGGATACCTTAAAGCAAAACATGGTTAATGTTCTGGCTAAACCATAAAAGCTAGAGGGAACAATTATCAGAGTCTCGTGCAAACACATGTTGCTAGGAAACACAATAATTAAAACAAATGCTATGTATATATAGGATTTGACCCCTCCACGAAATTCTAAAGCAGCTATTAAGCCTTTGGCCTTGTGGTGACCTTGAATTGAGAGGGTTCTTCCACCTATGTTAAGTGTTTGAACCCACATCCCTCCTCCTTCTGGGGGAAAATAATCTCTGCCAAATAATAGATAGTCCTGTTCTAACAAACTGATGTGGATTACCATATTGTCTATAAAGTTGAAGACTATCAAAGATTATATTTTAAATATATACAATGGGGTAGGATATTCTTACACCGATGTAAGAATAAGAAGTCTTACATCAAATCTGAATCATTGATTTACTTGCATCGAACGGCTCAAATATCTAACAAATCAGAACCGTTAGATATAAATAAAATCAATGATCAAGATTGAAAGTGTAACTTACACTGGTGTAAAATAATACTGACCCATATACAATAAGGCAAGTTTCAATGACACTGAAAATTTTGGGTAAATTTGATGCTAAATGAAATGAAATGAAAACAAATAGTCAATAATGTTATGAAGAATACAAGGAGTTTACCAATGAAGAAACTCCTAGCCATCTAATTTGTTAAATGTGATGCTAAAGAAGGTTAAAAGGTCAGAGTGTTGTACCAAAAAAAAAAAAACTAGTCAGTTTTTGGGACTCTTAGAAGCAGAAAGCAGCTTAGGATTTTGTGAATTGAACATCATAATCTTTTATTTATACTACGAATGAACTGCATTTAGACGGAAAATCATAGCAAAATAGTAAAATATATTTGTGTTTTCTTTTTCTAATGGTAATGTATTTTTTTTTCTGGATATTAAATGTCTTTTTCTAATGAAATGCCTAGTGTACAACGTTTTGGCGCCTATTGTCTCCACACTAAACCTAGCATCATAAGGGTTGGTTTTCCTTTGACTACCTTGAACTTGAAACAATGATAGCATTAACTTCTCTTTCCTCTCTCTTCATTTTTAGTATTGAACAAGTGATGACAATACCGAAGTGTAAACAAATCTGATAAGTTTTAACGGAAGCTGTGTATTATTGCTTCAAGCTAAAGGTCCTCTAAAAAAAAAAACATTCTAGATTTCTTTTTTCTTCTTGTTAACATTAACAAAAAAAGCAATCATATATTTAACTTTACAATCATAATTAAAAAAAAGACAAAATAATGGTTGTAATTTTCTAATCTCTAAAAAACTATATTGTAAGAAAACATCATTTCTCAAACTGCATGGATGGTTTAAAGATCGTTGACAACCAGTGAAAGTCGATATTACAATTCACCAAGCATAACACTAGAAAGATGTCCATTCAGTCATTTATCAGGTATTCATGGTTATATTACAGACCAGCAAGTCAATCCCGATTTCCTTTTCAATTAAGTAGTTCAAAATATGAAGGTATAGATCCAGTAAACAAATGTCTTATCATCATATAATTTTGGTCACTTAAGAAGATAGAGGCGAGAATTGATAATAGAACCGACTCCTTCAAAATAGACTGACTTTTTTTTTTTTTTTTTGTAAATAAATAGACTGACTTTAACATCTAATGAATACTACATTACCCATCTGCAACAACCAGAAGCAATATTTCTCAGCAGAGGGATATTTGAAACATACCATTCCAGCTTTATAGTTGACAACTAGTCTAAGTGCAAAAGAAATTCAATACGCACCTTTAAGTGATATTTCTTCTGTAAGTTTTGCCGAACCTGACCAGTGTAAATGCCACACATCCACCAAGTAAAAAATAAACCCTCAAAAATGAGAAATGATGTCCCCGGGTCAATCATACCGTTAAAGAGTGCAGTTGCTGTTGCCAGAGCAATGCCACCTTCAACAAATATGGCATGACAAATGCACGGGCCGGTCCAAGGAGTTTCTTCACTCAAGCTTTCTACATTGCGTCCAAATAATACACAAGGACAAAACAGTCCCGTCAAGCCTGCAATTAAGGAGGAATAGTATGAAAAAGCAAGCAATTTTCTGCTTAGTCATTGCAACAGCGGATGCTGCTAACATAGCCATACAAATAAATCCTTCAAAGTCCAGTTTTCCCATGATCCAACCATGATTTACTATATAAACTATGAAGGGATTTTGATAGTAAGGATTATTGGTCAAAGGAAACCACTCCCCATAGCTAGGATGGGGTAAGGACAATCCTTGTATTCAGCCTTACCTTTGCATAATTGCAAAAAAGTTGTTTTTCATATTCGAATCCGTGACCTTTCAATCACAAAGGAACAACTTTACCACTACTCCAGGCTCGGCCACTCATTGGTCAAAGGAAACATCTAAATTAAAATTACTATTAGTCCATGAGACTCAATTGACTAGTCCAAAATAGATAATAGACAACACCATGACTCTAGTAAAATTTGACAGCTTGGTCATGCAATAACTTACAGCTTTCCCTATCTTCAGCACATCCAAAGATCCCAGTCATCCAAGGCTCATCAGCAGGAGGTGCATAGCTTTCAGGTAATGGCTGTCCACATTCAATGCACTTGCGAACAGCTAACTGCAAAGTATTAAAAACCATAAGTGAATATCTGTCTACCAATTTATGTCAAAATTCACTCAAACGAAGCACAACCATAACTATTGAAATCTTCATGCCACTTTCTATCGCAATGTCATAAAAGATTCAAAAAAGTTGTACATTGGGTGCATACTTCAACACAACCCTTTTTCCTCCGGACCAATTCCACTTAGTGGGATAAGGCTCGGTTGTTGTGTTGCAGTATTTCTTTCTCACACATATTAAGAAGCATATAATGAAATAATTTATGCCAAAGCAGAAATACTGTATGTTATTCTTTTAAGTTATAATCTATTAAGTATAAGAGTTTGTTTGGAAGAGGGATTGAAGGGGAAAGGATGGGAAAAGGAATGATTACCCTTGTTTGGAACTATTAAATTTTATAAAAGGTATGTTAGCATATTAGTGTAATGTAATTTTCCTTTGCTGTTAGTTTTTCCCTTTCTGTTATTTTGTTGTAACTAATTTTTAGCTGAATGCATTCTGTTAGTTAGTGTTGCTGTATTGCATTCTGTTAGAAGGGTGCGCTTCATGCTTTCCTTTTCTCTTTCATATGGGCTGATGTATATATAGCCTCTTTTGTACCTTTCTCTTCCTTAATGAGAAATATGAGTTTCCAACAATACCGTCTTTCTTTCTGGTTTATCATAACTAATATGGTATCAGAAGTATCTCTCTAGCCCTCGCCTATTTTCCATGGCTCGTGGCAATAACAACAATAATCGTCCCACACCATCTGATTCCTCTGCTTCGTCCGTTTCCATGGACGATTCTTCTAGCCCCTATATTTTGCAAAGTGGTGATCACCCTGGTTTGGTTTTGGTTTCCCACACTCTTTCTGGATCTAACTTCAATTCATGGCATCGAGCCATGCTTCTTGCCTTAACTGCCAAGAACAAATTAGTGTTCGTTGATGGCACTCTTTCTCAACCGATTGCCTCTGACCTTTTATTTTCTGCTTGGAATAGGTGTAATTCCATGGTCATTTCATGGATTAAACTCTATTTCGAAAGATATTGTTGATAGCCTCTTATACTTTTCCAATGCCTTTGAGGTTTGGTCTGATATGAAAACCCGCTACTCTCAAGCAAATGGTCCAAGGATTTTTTAGCTAAAACAACAGATTTCATCTCTTTGTCAGGGTTCCCTCGACATCAATGGCTACTACACCAAATTAAAAGGATGAATTACAAAACTATCTTCCCCTTCCTATTTGTACATGTGGTGCCCTTCGAACAATGAACACCCAGCGTCAGCAGGACCATGTTCTTCAGTTTCTGATTGGCCTCAACGATTCCTTCTCGTCTGCGCGTGCTCAAATTTTGTTGATCGATCCGCTACCTTCCCTTGCTAAAGTCTTCTCCATGATTCTTCAGGAAGAGCGTCAACGCCAACTCTCTCTCTCTCTCTTTGCCAGCACCTGCTATTCCGGATATGCCTCTCTTAAACTCCATCACCACCGTTGATTCCTATTCTCCGTCCACGACCGCCACCACTCTCCGACGGTCTGGGCCCGTTTGTACATATTGTCATCTCTTTGGTTATACCCGCGAGAAGTGTTTCAAACTTCACGGGTACCGACCTGGCTATAAGCCCAAAGCCCCTAGGCCCATCACTGTTCCCCAATCAGCCCAAACACACTCTGTTCACTCGTTTGCCCCTAACCCCAAACTTTCCCCTAAATCCAATTTTTCACCTAACCCTAATTTCCCAGCTGCTGATGTGCCTCTCGCTTTCACCCCTACACAATACAACCAGTTGTTATCGCTCATTTAATACAGTTCTGCATCATCTCCTTCCTCGGTCACTCCTTCCGTTGCTGAATCTTCACCTTCGGTGGCTAGCTTCAGCGGTAAGTCCCCTTCTTCACTTCCTCGTTCTTGCTGGATTATTGACACTAGTGCTACGCACCACATTTGTATCACCTCTAAACTCTTCAGTTCTTCTTTTCCGTCTAATTCCTTAGTAACATTCCCCAATGGATCGTCCGTTGTTGTCTCTGCTACTAGTTCCGTTTCTATCTCTGATTCTCTCACCCTGATTAACGTTCTTTGTGTCCCATCCTTTTTATTTAATCTCCTTTCCGACAGTGCCTTGACTTGTGATTCACCAGTCATCGATAACTTCTCTGCTTCTTTTTGTTTTCTTCAGGACAGTGCTTCGTCCAAGATGATTGGGATTGCTAGAAGATACGGTGATTTGTGCGTCCTTGATAGTAACAATTTGTTTCCCAATACTGATGTTCCCCAACCCCTTTGTTTTTCTTTTGCTGTAAAAGACCCTATTCTCTGGCATTCCAGACTAGGGCACCTATCTATTTTTGTTTTGAATTCCATGCAATCAACTTTGGATTTTTCTAAGAAATTAAGTGTTTTACATCACTGTATTGTTTGTCCTTTAGCTAAAAAAAAGCGTCTCCCCTTCATTTTAAATCCCAAGTTATCAGTATCCCCCTTTGACCTTGTGCATTGTGGCATTTGGGGTCCATTCAACACCTCCTTTGTTGAAGGTTCTCGCTACTTTCTCACCTTAGTTGATGATTCAACAAGGTTTGCATGGACGTATTTCTTATGTCATAAGTCTGATTTTTCATCAGTCTTCCCTGCCTTCTATAATCTTGTTCTCACCCAGTATGGCCTTCCCATTAAATCCCTCTGCTGTGATAATGCCCCGGAGTTTAACCTGTCATCTTTTTTTTCTTCCAAGGGCATTCATATTTTTCACTCTTGCGTTGATAGTCCTCAGCAGAACTCTGTTGTTGAGCGAAAGCACCAACACCTTTTAAATGTGGCTAGATCCTTACATTTTCAATCCCATGTTCCCTTGCAATATTGGCAAGATTGCGTTCTTACTGTTGTTTACCTTATAAACAAAACTCCATCCCCTCTACTATCTTCTAAATCACCCTTTGAGCTTCTTTGCCATAGATAGCCATCATATGAACATCTTCGTGTATTTGGTTGTCTCTGTTACAGCTCCACCCTTCCTAAAAATCGACACAAATTCTCTCCTCGAGCTTTACCTGTTGTTTTTCTTGGTTACCCACCTGGGTATAAAGGCTACAAACTTCTTGATTTACAATCCAATCAAACTTTCATTTCCCGTGATGTGGTCTTTCTTGAAACAATTTTTCCCTTTGCCTTACAATCCCTTACCTCCTCTTTCCCCACTGAATTCTCTAATTTACCCAATTCATATCAGACCCATGTTCAATCTGATTTTTCAGTTCCTGCTTCAGAAACTACTGGAACATTACAGCCTCGAGATCCCTCTCGTTCAGGTGTTGATTAGATTCATTCATGTAACCCTCCCGCTGAAAGCCTGCCAGGAGCCTACTATCATAGCCTTCCTACTTTAGCAGGTCTGGACTCTAGGCATTGGGATTTTCAACTGGTAGTACAGTCCAACCCACGTTCCAAAAGACTATCTACTCCCCGCCCTTGTCAACGCTCAGGATGTTACACCCATCTACTTCAAACTTCATGTTTCCACCTTTTTAGTCCTTTTTCTCTTTATCTCCCTCTTTTTCTTTCTTTCTTTCCTTCTTTTCTTTGATTTCATTTTTCCTTTCAATCTTCTTTCTCTTATTTATCTATGTATTTTTCTCTTTCTTTTTTACCCTATATTTCTTTTTTTTATTACTTACTTTCTTATTCTTTTTTGTCCTCCTATATATCATATTTTCATTTTATTTTAATTTATTTTTCCTTTTAATTGTTTACTATTTTTTATGGATAATGTAATATATATTTAAATTTTATTTTTATCTTTTTTCTCAATCTTTTCGTACCTTTCATTTATGTTGATATACCATCGACCTCAATTAGTTTGGGATAAAGATATTGTTGATGTCTCTAACCAACACCTAAACAGTAACATTATCGGTATATTTTTTGACCAGGCAATCTGCAAGGTGATTTCACCACCCAAATTCACATTCTAACTATCAAATCAAATTTCAGGAAAAGGTAATGCCAGATCATTCAATGCTTTGTCTAGGCCTCAAGGTCAAGAATCTTTTGCATAAAGGATCATAACCAGTAGTTTAAACCATTAAACGGCTAAACCCATGTTGCATTAGACACAATGCAAATGTTTTACATCTCTACAACTTGCAAAAACAACCAACATTGGGTCACTCTGTTGCTTTCTTCACTTACAGGACTAGAATTGCATGAGAACCAAAACTAGATTCAGATTGCAACCAGAAACCCTTCAACAAGGTTTCCTTCATACAAATAAATATCAACAAATCGTGTCTATTCTAGAAATCAGACAAAAAGCCAGAAATCAAAATAAATTCATCAATCAAATTCAATAAAAAAAAATAACAAGGTGTGTCTGAATTAAACAATGGAAATCCAAACCTGAGGAACCTCAATTGGCTGATTCAGTTCACCAGGCTTGATGTCTTCCAAAGGTACCTGATCTTTTTTCAGCTTCACGTAACGCGATTGATTCCTTTCCTCCATCTATTCTCACAAACCAAACCCAGAAACAAAGAAAAATCAACGATTCATCACAGAAAAAAGCTGAGAAAAATAGTTAAAAAAACACAAACAGAAATGCAGAGTTTAAGATCTAAAGAATATTGCGTTGTGGGTCACCTCTGTTGGGTGATTCTTGTCGAAAATTTAGAAGTGATGATAAACAAACACCAACGTTAGATACTCCGAATTCCGAACCCAATATATGGAAACTGAAACTTGAGAGGGTGCACTTTTTTTTTATGAAAGGGTGCACTTAAAATAAATGAAAAAGTGAATGGAAAATTGACTTATATGAGGTTGCGGTAAAAGTCGGAATAGAAGGTTAGAATTCAATGGGAGCTACATGAAAAGTTTGTATTTAAATCTCTTTTTATAAGCATTTATTAACTTTCCATTCTGGTGGTGTGTATATTAACACTAAATATTCTTTTTGGTTCTCAGCAAATTTCACGATACTCGTTTTAGTCCCTAATAAATAGAAGGGTTATTCGTTGTTCCTAAGAAATTCAAAATAGACTCATTTAGTTGAAATCATGGTCTCTCACAAATTCAAAAAAGACTTATATTAGTCCCTCAAAAGATCATGGTCACTTCGAATTTTTTAGGGACGACGAATAGCTCTTTCATTTGTTAGGGACTAATGAGGACCGAAAAAGATATTTACTCTATAGAATATTATTTCTATTTTTTATACGTATTTTATTTTTTTTATTTAGTATTGTTGTATCGGAATTTCAATTGATATTTATCCTTTTCATAGTTTCTATCTTGTCAAGAGGTTATGATTTAATAATATTAAAAAAAATAAAATAAACATAAGAAAAAGTAAGTACATATGATATTGCACATGACAATTGGAAACATAAAACAAAATTTCAAGCATTTATAGTTTTTAATCATAAATCAATCAATGATATAATAAAATCTTAAACATTCATGTTTTTAATGGTAAATTAATGCTCAGCAATTGAAATTATTCCTTACACTTCTCCATTTATAGTAACTATAATATTTTTTTTAATAAAAAAATTAGATAGGCAAATGATTAAGACAAAAAAGAGTAATTTTAAATGGTGGTCACAGATGTTCTCAAATTAAAATAGGAAATGAAAAAAAAAATTCCTCACGAGAATAAATTTTTTAATATTATAATTTCACATGATATAAAATTCGTAAGTATGTAAGTAGGGGTGCAAGTGAGTTGGGCTGTGATAACATCCAATACAGACTCAGCTTCTAACTCAAATGACTGTCACGTGGACTCGAATGATCGTCACGTGATATATTAACTGATCCCAATTGATTAGTTCATTTCTTGTTATTTAGTTAACAGTTTGTTTATAGTTAGTTAGAAAAGATGCAAGTTTGTTTATAGTTAGTTAGAAAAGATCCACGTCAGCTTTCTTTTCTTTCTTTTACTTTGTATCAGTATATAAGCTTGAAAGCTTCTTCTTTGTAATCAGTTTTTCAATAATGAAGATTAGATTTTTCCAGTATTTTAATAGGCTGGGTCAAGTTTTGCTCCGAAAAGTCCAAGCCTACGACAAAAAATTTTAATTTGGCCTGACCCAAACCTAGTACGAGTCTAACTGTTAGCCTGTCTTGAACCGTTTATAAAAAAATAAATGGTCTGGACTAGCTCGTTAGCCTTTTAATTTTTAACTTCCAAGCAAAACCATGAAGAAACTTTACAAAATACTCAAATTCTATTGCTAAACCAAAAATCATAATTTCAACGTCCAAACAGAATCATGAATAACAATAAAACTCATATGATCTGTATTTAAGTCACTTTAAAAAACAAAATGTTCAAGTTAAATAACATATATTTCATCAGATCAACAAACAAATTCATATTGTGTAAATTAAAATAACTACATGAATCCAACAAGCACATCATGATGCTTGTAGTAAGTATAATCTCTCCCCAAAACCTTTTAATATATTCATATATACAATCTAACATGTTAAGATATTGGTTCCTCCGACATAAGAAATAAAGTCAGATTTCTATTAAAATATAATCAAATATAATTAAGTTATAATAATTGCAATTGATTAAATTTATATCTTTTGTTTTTTTTTCAAGGCATACTTATTATATTTTATTTTATTTTATTTAAAATAAATAGTACAATATAGGCTGGCCTGTAGGCTTAGAGGCCAGGCCTTGTGAAAGTGAGCCTACGACCTTTTTATTAAACAAGCTTTTTCAAAACCCAAACCCAGCCTATTTTACAAAATATATTAGGTCAGGTCTGGCTTGACGTAGGCCGAGCCGTAGGCTCCTGTAGGCCGGTCCGGCCCAGTTTCACCCTATTCATTTTTTTACATTCCGAAATACGAAATAAAAATATGAAACTCCAATTTTTTTTATCTCTTATGTTGAAATAAAGAATGCGAAAAAAATAGTATAATAAATCCACAATTTATCTATAAAAATGTATATAAAAAAAAGCTCATTGGTAGCATATTCGATCAAACAGATAATCCCCACTGCTACAAGAATACCGTTTAGTTGACCTGTACCTGTTTGAACAGCCTCAGCTAATCCTATTTTTCTTTGATAAGAATCAATACGATCTTTATAAAGTTCTTCTTCTGAATGAAATTCAATGGGATACAGAGACACACGATTAATTAATTTACGGTATGAAACAAACACATGTATATGTGATATTAGATACTAATTAGTTATATTTATTTATATATCTATCAATTAACTATCTATCTAAATATTCCCTGTTACTGCTGTAAATTGTGAATAATAGGTGAGAGCTTACTAAAATTTATGAATAAAGTCCATTCGCAGTGCCTGTGTATTAATATTAATTTTAAAGTTGATAAAATTTATTCACTTGATTTTTAATTGATAATTATAGTTCTACACTTAATTATTTTGAAGCGTACCGTCATTATATTGAAATAAATAAGATATTGGGACCACCCGCGAAATGTCAACTCATATAACATATGTTACTCACAAATAAGAAATTGGGGAACAACGCGTTAGGACGAGTCAACCGCATAACATGTTACTTTGGCTTCAGCGTCACTATAACGGAAATGAAAGTCGTCCCTAGTTCTGTCATACTCATACTTTTTCAACTTTCAGGCATTCATATTCAGATTCAATATCTCATATTTTTCTCCACCACCAAAATATATATATATATATCATTTTGTTTAAAAAAAAAATTGTGACTTCGTAAACTAATTTGGATAATTCCATAGGCTCATAAGATTCTAAGGCCCACGAAGGATCCAATAAGCGCAATAATCTCATAGCGATGTGTTAGCCCGGCATCACGCAGACAGGCATTGCGCAGATTATAGGAGTGTGCAAAATAATCAAAAAACTGAACCGAACCATGAATCGAACCGAACCACCCTTAAAATAACCGGTTTTAAAAAATCAGTTCATGAATCGAACCGGTTTTTAAAGAACAAGTTCATGAACTGAACCGATTTTTAGAACCAGTTTAAGAACCGAACCATTTCCGAACCGAACCGAATCGTTTTCGAACTGAACCGAACCGTTTTCAAACCAAACCAAATTAATTTTTATAACTTTATTTTTTAAATTTTAAATTTTTTTTCTTTTCAAAATAGCGTCGACCCGAACCGATTTCCAACCGAACCGTTTCCATCCGAACCATTTCCAAATCGAACCAATTTTGAACCGAACCGAACCATTTAAACCAATTTGGTTCGGTTCGACCCATGCACATCCCTAGCAGATTATACCGCCTTATGTAACTTAAAGGCTTAGGAAAGACTCTGCAACAAACTGAGTCACACCGTGCATGAAGACCAATATTCGTGAGACAGTTCCAGCTTGCCACCACTCTAAGAAGAAAGACAAATATATAGACTTATAGTCAGAAAGACACCAGTTGAAACAGACAAGTCTGTAGCCCATAACAAACAATAAAAAGGCATGACACCTACCAAATGCGGCATAAAGCTTGCTATAAATATGAAGTGTATAAACCTAGGTATGATCATCTGATTTCCACTAAATATAACATAAACATAGCACTGATACTAACTTGAGCGTTAGAGTGTCTTTGCAGGTATCCCCTCGCAATTCATTCCAAGTGCGAGTCAACAGTATTCTTCAACCTTCATATACACAATGAACGTCCTAAGCCCACGAAGTACCATATACAACCCAAAGTCTTCATCTTTCAACCGTGTATGATTTAGCCCAATCCATATTGGACTGGTCTGATCATTGGCACCGTCTGTGGGTAACTATAAATTTCAATTCCCACTTTCTTCAAATCAAAAAACATGGTTGATACCAGAAGCAAAACGCAAAATGATTCTAACGGAAAGAGAAAAGGTGTACCGACTTCACATGAGAAATCAGCTTCGATAGTTGCTCAAATTTCTGCACGTAATGAAAATCCACCCACTACTCAACACTTGTTTGAACTTATTACTCAACAAAGCAAGAAAATTGCTTAGCAGAATCGAGATTTAGCTCGGTTAAAAAAATTATAAAGTGATAAGGAAAAAACTAGAGAGAAAGGAAAAGAAAAAGAGACAGAAAAAGAAAATGAAGAGGGTATAGAAAAATCTGATGAGAGCGAACCAGGTCATGAATGTTAAAAGAAAGATCCTGGGCCTTTAGACCAAAGTAAAAAGAAAAAGGGGGGGAAAGGAAGACTTGATAATTCTTAGGGAAATTACAAAATAGTTTCTTGAGTATTGCATTCTTTTACTTCTCAGGTCATGAATATATCAATCTCAAGGGATGTTAAGATTACAACAGAAAAATACAACGGGAAAAGAGATCCGCAGGAACATTTGGAGCAGTTTCAAACTGACATGATGGCACAAGATGTTGCCGACTAAGTGGCATGTCTATTGTTTCCAACAGCATTGAAAAAAATTGCACTTCGATTGTATTCTGCCTTGCCATCCAATTCAATTCAAAGTTGGAAAGATCTCGTCAGCCAATTTCTTATACGATTTGCTACCAGCAAAGCGCAATATAAATCAACTCACGCCTTGAAAACGGTTAGGCAGGGTGTGCACGAAACTTTGCTCAATTATCTCAACAGATTTTTTGATGAAGCTATTTTGGTGAAAGATTTAGACCCACAGGTTTCTTGACACCTTATTATTGAAGGATTATTAGAAGGTTTATTCTCTATGTCTTTGGCAAAACACCGTCCACGAACTATTTAGGACCTTAACGCGCGACCGAAAAAGTTTATCAATTTGGAAGATTATAAATGCTCTCGTGATGCTTCTGGAATAAAAACAGAGTTTGATAACTTTGAAAACGATTCCAGAAAGATTTTGAAAGGTGTTTTAAAGAAAAAAGAAAGTGGGAAAATTTTGAAAATTACTCCTTTGAAATACATCACGTAGGAGAATCTTGAAAGAGGTTTTTCAAGCCGATTATGTTAATGTCCAAAACCTCCACCACTGAAAAAGAACGGGAGGCATGATGAATCCAAATTTTGCGAATTTCATGATGATACTGGCCATACTACTGATTAGTGTTTTGACTTAAAAAGCATCATTGAAGCGCTGATTAGAGCAGACAAACTTCACGAATTTATCTCCACCTGCAAGGATTACAAGGCACAAAGAAGGCATGATAGAAGCCCTGATAATGATAGGAATCCTGACAGACAAGGTTCAGGAAAGGAGAGATAAAAACTGGACCAGATCCCACACGGACAGGAATACGCAATATGAGGGCAATGATAGGCGAGAAGGAGAACCACGGCGTGACAGACAGCGTGACCAACAGAAAATGCACCACAAAATTCCACAACTGCCTAATAGTGCTGCAAGAGTGTTAGCCACTATTGCTGGGGGAACGGCCGGAGGAAGAGAGACAAGTTCCCAAAGAAAGCGGCATCTAAAGGCAGTCATGACTGTTAGCAACCATGTGCAGGATTCCATGCACCTTAAAAAATCATGAGACAATTAGTTTTAACGGCAATGATTATGGAGATATCATTCCAGGCCACGATAATCCATTGCTAATTTTTTCTTGCATGGCGAATCTCCAGGTAAAAAGAATTTTAATTGATAGTGGTAGTTCTGCTGATATTATTTTTTGGGAGACTTTTCGTGCAATGAATATTCCAGAGCAACACTTAATCCTTAGTTGTACAAATTTGCTTGGCTTTTCTAGAGAATGCGTACAGCCCAAAGGTACCATTGAAATTTTGGTAACCTTTGAGATTATGCTTATAGGACGAACTGCTAAGGTATGTTTCTATATAATTGATTGTGCATCTGCCTATAATGTTATTTTGGGTTGTCAAACCATTGGAGCTTTGGGCGCAATTATATCCATGCCACATCTTTTGATGAAATTCAGAAGTCCTTCCGTCACAATCGTATCTATTAGAGGAGACCAGAAGGCGGCACATAGCTGTTACAATACCAACTTAATGGTAAATAATAAATCCGCAGTTCATCAAGATACTAAAGGTAAGGCTTCCATCAATATGACAGATTTAGACATGCGTGAAGATTTTCACAATGTGCGTCCTCAACCTGACGGTGAATTAGAAGATCTCCAACTTGGCCCGCAGCCTGGAATGTTACCAAAATTGGTAGATATATGCCAAAAAATGAGAAAAATTCATTAATAGCGGTGTTGTTAAAAAACAAAGATTTATTTGCTTGGATAGCTGCTGATATACCAGGATTAGACCCATATTTCATTGGTCGTCACCTCATTATTGGTCCACAAGCAAAACTAGTTGCTCAGAAGAAGTGCAAAATTTCTCCTCAAAAACAAAACGTGGTTGATGATGAAGTGACAAAGTTGTTAGACACACCGGTCATTAGAGAAATTACGTATTCTATGTGGCTTTCCAATGTCGTCCTGGTAAAAAAAAGCTAATGGCAAATGGAGAATGTGTACAAATTACACAGGTCTTAATAAGCATTGTCCAAAGAATTTTTATCTTGTTCCAACTATTGAGAAGTTAGTTGATAATTTGGCAGGGTATCAAATCTTTTCATATATGGATGCATATTCAGGATATAACCAAATCCCAATGTTCAAACAAGATGTAGAGGCCACCACTTTTATCACTGAAAAGGAAACATATTGTTACAACATGATGCCTTTCGGTCTTAAAAATGTCGGCGCGACGTATCAATGTATGATGAACAAAGTGTTTAGTGAGCAAATTGGTCGCATGCTAGAAGTTTACATTAATGACATGATTGTCAAAACCACTGCAACCCTACAACATCCAAACAATTTAGAGCATGTATTTCAGCAATTGCGCAAATACAAATTACGACTCCATCCAGCTAAATGCGTGTTAGGTGTTCCAGCAGGAAAATTCCTGTGATTCATGTTAACTCATCGAGGAATTTAGGCTAATCCTGACAAATGTAAAGAAATCTTGGAAATGACCATTCCAAGGAATGTCATGGAATTATAACAACCAAGGGACGAATAACGGCTTTGACCAGATTTTTATCTGCATCAGCACAAAAGTCTTTACCCATGTTCAAACTTTTGCATAAAGAAAATACTTTCAAATGGACTTCAGAGTGCGAAGCAGGCTCAGTTGAAATAAAGAAACATTTGGTTAATCCTCCAGTTTTGTAAAACCGCAACCTAATGAACCCCTAGTGCTTTATCTCGCTGTTAGTAATGAGGCTATCATTGTTATACTATTGCGAGAAGATACCAATGGACAACAACCCATTTACTTCGTCAGTAAAGCTCTTCAAGGACCATAGTTGTGTTACCAACAGATTAAGAAGGTAGCGTTTGCACTCATTATCACGTCTTGCAGGTTACGCCATTAATTCCAAGGACATTCAATCAAAGTAACCTCTTAAACAGATATTGCGCAAACCTGATCTACAGGGAGAATGATAACTTGGTCCATTGAATTATTAGAATATGATATCATCTATGAACCGCGCCAAGCAATTAAAGCACAGGTACTGGACGAATTTCTTGTTGAAATGACACATATAGACGTCGCGGAATCAAATGGTGATTGGACAATTTTTGTTGATAGATCCTCTAATATTAAAGGGAGTAGGGCTGATGTTATTGTTGAAAGTCCTCAAGGAGTTGTTGTGGAACATTCCATTCAATTTGGTTTTAAAGCTTCCAACAATCAAGCAGAATATGAGGCAGTCCTAGCAGGATTAGCAATGGCTAAAGACTTAGATGCAACAAGATTGATCGTAAAGAGTGATTCTCAGTTGGTGATTGCGCAAATCCAAGGAACTTACCAAGAAAAAAAGGTCTTGATGGCTAAATGCTTGGAAAAGGTACGTCTATTACTAACGAATTTTGAAAATGTTAAATTTGAACATATTTCGCGTGAGAAAAATGCTAGGGCAGATATTTTATTAAAGCTTGCTAGTACGAAAGGCCATGGAAATAATAGATCGGTAATCCAGCAAAGTGTACCTCATCCAAGTATAGTAATGTTTGTCACTAAGCGTAAAGCCAAGCCATCCCATTGCGCGTATCCCATGATTGATGATGAAGAGCAGAATCCAGAAATAGAAACCAATTGGATGACTCTAATTTGGAATTACCTCAATAAAGGAGAAATTCCACATGATTTAACTATGGCTAAAAAATTAGTGAGGAATGCTTCGTTCTATACTATTGTCAATGGTCAGCTGTATCGAAAAGGGTTTTCTTCCCCAATACTGAAATGTTTAACTCCACAACAAGCAAAATACATTATATCTGAGGTCTATGAAGGATTGAGTGGTCATCACATGGGAGGAAAATCCTTATCACGCAAGTTGCTTCGTGCAGGATATTTCTGGCCTACAATGGACGAAGACTCGAAGAAACACGTTCGTTACTGTTTAAGATGTCAGGAACATGCTGTTATCCATCACGCTCCCCCGGAGGAGTTATCTTCATTATTGTCTCCATTGCCATTTTATCAATGGGGAATGGATTTATTGGGACCATTCCTAGTTGCGGTAAGAGGAGTAAAATAGTTGGTAGTGTAAATCAATTATTTTACTAAATGGATCGAGGCTGAGTGTTGTGCAATTTCGCAATCAATTAAATCACACAAGTACGCAAGTGCACGTATCAACAAGTAATAAAGTGGATCTGTGAGTCCAGATATCGTTCCCACAGAGATTATATAATGCTATAGCTCTAAGTAAAGCAATCAAGGTAACAAAGATGATTTGCAATTGGCTAATGACTAAATTAACACTTAAGAATTAAAGTAAACTAAGGCTAATGATTAACTAAGAAGAATGCAGTAGCAAAATAGATTTTCCAAATGTTTCAAGACGGATTGGGATCAATTTCCCCATTATTGCAATTTCACCAGAATGCAGTAACCATGCTACAGCAATAATCCGAACAGTAATCATAACACTAATGCATGCAAGGGCTCTCACCAACAATACATGTATACTACGTCCCACATTTCTATGGACAACAAAGTTATGAATTCATTAAGTTCAAGTTCCATTTGATTTTGTGGTGTAAGTGATCTCTCTACCCACAATTAACTAATTTTACTTAGTTAAACCACAGTGCTTAATAACTTTCAGGAATTATCTATATTTCTATAGCTTAACTCCCAATTACCTTGCAACTCTCTCTCGATGAATCAACAACATTAAGGAAAATATAACACTTTATTAAGAAACTGAAAGGAAAATCATGCAGCAAAGTTTAGGCAATACTGTTTACATCACAGTAAGGGTACTCTATCACCCAATCCTAACAATTTAGCCCATAATTAGGTGGACAGAAACAACAAGGAAAGAATAGGACTCCATAAAACTAGAGTAAAGGAAACATGGATGTTGCTGTAGCACTGCTCTCGCAGCAACCATGAGCTCCACCACCATCAACCTTGCCTCAGCCGCCGGAATAGTGCAGCAAGTCACTGGGTTCAATGATCTCTCAATTGAACCCTAGCTCCTTCCCTTGATCCGCAAGATTTCTCCCAACGAACCCTCAAATTCCTTCCAAGTGTTTCCCCCACTTTCTCTCTCTAAAACTGCCTCCAATTGGGTGTCTCAAAACATATCAGTCGTGCGTTCTTTGTGTAGGGTTCGTTCCTTTATAAGCTTTGATATTCTGGGCTTCAATCATCTCTTCTTATCCATGCAAATCGTCACTCAAATCTGCCTTGTGATCGATTGAGATTGATACTCTGTTTTGCTGTCATGCTGACAGAGTGTGTTGTTGCATTTCTCTTAGGATTCTTTCCAGATTTGTAATTCAGATTTGAATCCTATTTGTAATCGTTGATTTGATGAAGATTATCTTGTGATTTCTTGATGATTTTGAGCGTGTATCCAGATCAGATCTTTTCGTACACGTTCAGAAGCTTCTTTAATCAAATTGGGCTTAAATCCATGGCTTGCTGGTGCTTATGTCAACAATATGCACTGCTAACCTTATCTGCATCGCTACAGCACTGATTCCCGATGCTACAACATTGACCTGCAATGAAATAACAAATGCATTTAAATGTTTCCAATACCTCAATTTTTATCCAAATACTCATAATTAACATAATTCTCAATTAACTTATGAAATCATAAAATTCATGCATTAATCATATAAAATCTAGAGAATCATATGTAATCATAGTACCAAAACATCACAATTAAGCCCAAAATAACTCTCTTTTGGAGAGTTATCACACTCCAAACTCAAAACGTTGCTCGTCCTCGAGCAACAAAATACTTCTCATGTTTAACATTCATCAACTCAGTAACTTCTGTATCAAAGACTATTGTTGAGATTCTCCAGATTGCAGCAGCATTGCTACAACATTGTGCAGTTGATTATTGATTCTTCAGCCATCGTCTTTACTTTAACTTCAGTATTCCTTGTTGGCTTCATCTTCTCAAGGATTCATAACTTTTGGATGGATCAGTGTGTGTGCGCTAGGAACTTGCTTCTTGGGTTGATCCACCTTGGAGCTTCAAACCAAAAATCATCAGGCCCAGTTGCTTGACTCATGCTCTGTCAGAATTGAATCCACATCCATGTGTACAAGACATGAAGGAACGAGTGTCCACCTTGCATTTTTAGCTTTGCCTTCCTCTTTTGTCAGGTGCTTTTGCACTTAGTCTATTTTTGGGGTTTTCCCCTCTTTTCTTTTCTTTTGACTCCATTTTGTTGAGGAAGAATTCTTTGTGCATTGGCACTTTGTTGCTTGGCTTCTTTCACCCTTATAGCCTTCAAATCTATCTCATGTGATAGGATTCAAACCCATCAACTTGTTGAGTCCTAAGCCTCTTTCGCAATTCACTCCTTGATTTCTCTTGCCTTGAATTGATCATTGTGCTTAAATGGTTCACTTATTGGCCTTTCACCATGAGTTGGTTTTGCTTTCAAGTCTTACTTGGGTTTCCATTTAGACTTTGGCTTAAAACCACTGACTTTCATGTCTACACAGTGCTATAACAATCTTGCAGCAATGCAGGCAAAGATACAGCATTGCCTTATTGATGTTATGCTAAACTATTCAGCATTTTTAACTCAGCATCAGTACTGAGTTTTCTTCTTGAGTCCCTTATTTCCTCTTTATATTTTTCCTAACTTTAGAATAAAACCAAAAACACACAGAATATTGAAACTTGAACAGAAAATAACTCCTATAGCATGCAATTTTTTTTACTAAGTTCTTTTTCAATTGACAAGTGGACAGATATACAACAGACAAACAAAAAAAAAGAAAAACAAAGAACAAAACAACCTTTCACAATTCACATTTTAAATCAGAGGATATCTATCACTATCCCCCTCTTCTTCTTCTTCTTCATTTTCTTCTCCTTCTTCTTCTTCTGCTGCTTCTACCTCTTCTTCGGCTTCTCCTTCTTCTTCTTCCTCTCCTACTTCTTCTTCCTCACCTACTTCTTCCTCAGATGCTGCATGTAACACCACGTGTATACCCGGTTTGTTAACATATCATTGTATTAAGCTGCGCTTAATTAAAAATGCGGAATATCTTTTTCTTTTCAATTATGACGGCATTATACTTAGCCGAGTTGATTACTTAATCATTTTCATAAAATATTTTCTGTATGTAAATTGCAAATAGATATTTAACTGAAATACCTCATAAAATAGATAAAGTGAGTATCTAATGTCACGGGTCTACAACACGTAGTCCGGACAATATCCTGATACATTAATACAACTCCAAATAAAGCAAGACAATAATAAAGTCTATGTGGCATGGACAATCCCCATGCTCACCAAATCAACATCATAACAACAGCGTCCCAACCAGATAATCCATAACCATAATGAAGCTAAAAGCATAAAAGTAACAAGCATATCCAGCATCCAACAAGTCAGCATGTAAATCAGCAATAT